TACCCATCCATCCACTATCCAACCATCTATCCACCCACCATCCACCTATCTATCCATCACCCATCCATCCAACCATCCACTCATCCATCATCCATCCATCCAACCATCCAACCATCCAACTACCCATCCATCCACCATCCATCCATCCTTCTATCTTTTCATCTTTCTACTTATCCATCCATCTGTTCATCCATCTATCCATGGATGACATGCGGACTTGTTAGTTAAAATGTTTAAATCCTTCCATCCCAGGGGATAAATTGCCACTGCCCCAAGCCCCTTGAGTGCCTTCCTCGATGGCTCGGCTGCCCCAGCTCCTCTGCCAGGACCCTAGTCCATCTTCTGTTGTAGTAACCAATAGCACAGGCGGGGGTTGGTGTGTATGTGTGGGGAGACAAGGGGTCCCCAACAGACAGGGCCTAGGCTACCACCTTCCTTCCCCCTTTCCCTCTCCCTCTGTGTGTATGAGCACTCTCTCTCTCAAATAAATAAATAAATCTTTTAAAAAATAAATTATAGCTGAGTTATAATGCTTCGTCTTCAGAGCACCTCTCTTGTATGTGTATCTGTTTTGTACAGTGGCCCTCAGTCTAAAATTTTGTTTTAATAAAGAGTACTATGACTAACACATATTTAAAACCCACTGGTTCCTGAGGAGCCATCTGCAGATAAGTGCTTGTGATGATAGTGGGGAGCCCGGGAGTGTGGCTAGAGCTATGGAAGCCCTCCCCACTGCTGACACCTGCTGGGGGCACCCCCCACCCCTGCCCTGCAGAGCGCTGCCCCGCTGCTTCTCCCGTGAGCCCCGCCCCTCCTTCCCTCCTTGTCTGAAGCCCTGCTCATCTCTCCCCCAGCTCCTGGCTCCTTGGCCGTGGACCTGAGAAAGGGTCCAGAAGGAGAAGAGGGCAGGACTCCTGATTAAAATAAACCCTGACACTACAGCCGCGGGAATTAGAGGCTGGTTACAGAAGGAACTGGTTCCAAAAGTGGAAAGAATGAAATATAGATGCTTCCATGAACAGCTAATATTTACAACAATGCCTTCACTGTATGCACGTGTGGCCCCAGAGCCCACTTTTCTCCCCCGGCGAGATCTCACAAACCCTCTCCTGACCACAACACGTACGTGTGCATCACCCTTCCAGCAGCTGCCCGGAGTTCCACTAGGAAAACGCGCCCAGGCTCATTTCGTCCATCCTTGGCCGCTAAGCCGTGGCCAGTTCCCTGCCATCCTAAACAGAGCAGTTGGGACAAAGCCTGGCCCATGTGTTTGGTTCTTTCCTCAGGATCCCAAGGGGAGGATGGGCGGCACCAAGACCGAGCAGAGACCAAGCAGGGCCGTGTCCCATCACCGGGAGAAATGCACCGACGGTGCACACGGGACCACAGGCCTCGCATTCCCGGCTCGGTCCTCCCTGCTCACACTGGGGCCTAGGACAAGTGCTCGCCCTCTCACTTCTGGACTCGGCTCCGACGACTCTGACCTCTGCCAGGCCCGGCTCCTGTCCTGCCCTGCAGAAACATGTTTTGGCATCTCTCCAGGTTCTTCCTGGAGCAGGGAGTCCAAGAGGCAGGCTGCTGGGGGCTCCCACCCACCACAAACCTAACAACCAAGGTTGTGTGGGTACCACCTGCTTGGAGCAACATTCAAACCCTCAGTGGTTACAAGAAAAGCTCATTTTCACCTAAGGTGTTAAACAGTAACCACACGGGGCCTGGCAAGGTCCATGGCAGGATTTTCTCTTTGGCAGGGCCTGCCTGATGGCCCACTGCCCATGGGAAGACTGGCAATCCAAGGCCTGGTGCCCAGGCGAGGGCATGGGGGCTCTTGAGGCCTGCCCCTCACACATTTCTATCACCCCTCCCATCCTCCAACTATCCAAACACGTGATCCCAGTGAATCTGCTCTGCAACCGTTTTCTCAACAAATGGTGTTAGAACAACTGAACACCCACATGCAGGAAAAAATGAATCTCAACCCACATCTCACATGATAGAACCAGCCCCCCCAAATGTCTCAAAATGGATCACAGACCTATATGCACAACTCCAAACTATAAAACTTCTAGAAGATAGCCCAGGGAAAAAACGTTACCATAAGCTAGGCAAAGATTTCTTGACTTACATCAGAAGTACTATCTAGGAAAGAAGGTATCAATAAAGTCGGATTTTGTTTTAAAATTGTCTTCTGTGAAAGACACGGTTAGGAAAATTAAAGAGGCGAGCCAAAGACTGGGAGAAACATTTGCAAAACACGTATCTGACAAAGACAGTATCTAGAATTTATAAAGGACGCTCAAAACTCAACAGTGAGCTAACGAAGAACCCATTCAAAAAATGTACAAAAGATTTGTACCCGCTCTTGGCCGGGTTCACTTGGCTCACTTGGTCAAGTGGGGGTGGGGATCGACCAGGTTTCTCTGTGGAAAGTTACGGGTTTGCCCCTTGGAAATGATGATGTGACTTTGCAGGGAGGTATTTTGAGCCGAGGTCGTCTTCCTGTTTCCCATCAGACCTCTGCCCCCTAGATTTGGCAGCCCCGGGGGGTTCGTGCGGGAGACACCCGACGGGTGACCCTCTAATTCCATCATTCCTTCTAAGTCCTTAAGTTTTAGAGCGCTCTGGGCTGCCGAGATAGGTCAGGGGGTGTGGGTGGCGCGGGCCTGTGTGCATCTGCATGACCCTGGGCCAGGGGCATGTTTACGGTCACAGAGGACATTTCTATTCCAAGGATGTAAAGACACCTCTGAGCCTGGGGAACTCTTACTCCCTGCCACCTCTCCAGCGCCCACCACAGTGCCTCGGGGCTGGTCTTCTGGGCCCCGTCCACTCCAACAACTGCCCTCCGACAGCTGATTGTCCGATTGTGTCCCTCTCTGCCTCCCCCCCCCCCACACCTGGTCAAAGCCTCTTTGGGTCTCCTCACACCTAGAATAACACCCACTCTCCCTCCTGTGGCCTCTGAGGCTCTGAGACCCAGGGCTCCCTTTTCCTCTCCAGGCTGGTGGCCTCCCTCTGGCCACTGCGGCCCCGTGGCCCTTCCCGCTGGTCCGGACTCTGCACACTTGCCCTTGCTGTTCCCTCTGCCTGGAATGCTTTCTCCCTTCTCTCATTTCTCTGCCAAACCCGCTCCCCTCAGAGGGGCCTTTGTGGTCTGCCTTAGTGACCACGGCCCCCAGGCTAGAGGGACCCTCCAACTTCTCACCCCGCTGGGCCTTCCTTCCGAGCAGTTACTCCTGTAAAATGATGCTGTAATTTTAGCTATTTGGCGTCTGTGTCCCCTTAGCATGGATGCCCTCGTTTGCTGGTCTGCTCGGAACAGACCTGGGCAGAGAGCAGAGCATAGTGAATATTTGTGGATGCAGGACAGAATCCTTCAGGCTCACAGGACCTTCCACACACATGGCTTCCTCTAGGAACCTCTCCAGATCACCCAAAGCTAATTTGGGGTGTCCCTCCTCACAGCCCCTTGCTCACTGTCTACTGCTCTGTCCACCCCTACTTCCCTAAACAGCTCCCGAGTGTGGAGATGGGGTCTGCCAGGCCCACAGCTGAATCTCCAGTTCCTACCACAGGGCCCGATATGGAGTGGGTGCTTGCTCAGTGAGTGTTTGCTGAATGGCCACTTGAGGGTAAGTGGTTTTGATGGTGGTTCTATGTGGGCGGGAAATTTGTGACGCTCTTACCAGAGAGAGATGACAGAGAGGTCTGGGAAAGTTCGTCATGGTTGCTAAAACCATAAAATTTCATAGAAGGTTCCTTTGAACTCTAGCTTTATTTTGTGACTGCATTAGGTAATACGGACCTTAGGCAATTCTGTATTGGCCTGCACCTCCCTCAGAAAGGATGAGCACTCAGAAGGCAGTATTTGGCCCTAGGATAATACACCACAGATCAAGACAGAGGCCCCCCTAATGTCTTCCTCCAAAATCAATTTGCTGTGACAAACAGAAGAAATTTGTAGCAAATTTCCAGTACCTGGTCTCTAAGAGTCAAGAGGACACTGTGCTTAAGGAGCAGCATCAGGCAATGAAGAAGGACAATTTAAAGAGAACAGAGATTTTATGAAGACAAAGAAAAAAAATATGGCACATGAATTTAAAGCCCATGGAGGCTGTAAGTCAAAAGTAAAAAAATTAGCCCTGTAGCTCAGGGAAAGAGGAAAAAGCGGAAATGACAAGAGGGTGAGGTACAGACGGCAAGCCCACGCATCTCCTGTGTCTCTAGAAAGAACCAAGCAGGAGAGAAGGCTGTGGACACAGCAGCTGGAACAACAAATTCTACCAGATGCTTCCCTGGCCATGTCACTGAAAGGGCTCACTAGTCCCACATAAACATTTTCTAAAAAGTTCTGTAAGCAAAAAAAAAAAAAAAAAAAAGAAAGTTTTGTGAGCTACCAGCCAAAGCGGTGGGCAGGCGCAGCTCTGAGTGTCCCTGTCTGCGGGATTTGCCCCGCAGAACACTCGGGTCGTTCAGCCCCGTCTGCAGCTGACCTGACAGAGCGTCATATTGTGACAAAGAGGGGAGGAGAGGCCCCCTGCCTCACCCATTGTGAGAAAGGGGGGAGGAGAGGCACAGAGCAACCTTTTCCAGCAGGGGGGGACTCCTGGACCCTCTCGCCAGGGAAGCC